CACACAACCTGAGAATGACAGAGTAGGAGGACAGGCTTTTGTAGCTCATGGCATCATCCAAGCTCATCCGAACTGCTGGCAGGTCAGCATCTTTGGAGCTGCCTTTAGTGTACCTTTGTAGCCTTTCTTAGCTCCCCTGATCTTCTTGCTCATCCACCTCAGGGTGAAATTCATGTGTTTCTTTTCTGGAGGTAGGCTCCTTCTCAATTCTACTAACAAATCAGTGTCTGCGCAGTACAATGTTGTGTATACCAACTTTATACACACCGAAAAGTGTATACAGTGTATATATTCACAGTATACATTTTTTTAAGAAAGACCATGATGATGCATCAGTACAAAGTAAACATTACTCCCAGAGATTTATTTGCTCTGTTTCTCTCTCACACAACAGAAACTCACAAATACCTAAAACAAATGGACCCTCTGTGCATTGCCAAAACGTATAACAAACAAAGGTTGGAAAAAAACCCATCCATTTATCTGCTTTACTCTTTATTTACTCCTAAACTCAGCCAAGGGGCGATGGGGACTGTAAACACTTCTATCTGACTTCCTGACTCGGACCAATGTAGCTGATGTTTCTTTTTCAATAAGCACAACACAGATTTTTCTGTAATTAGACTAATTGGAGGATCTCAGTCTGGACTTTTACACACTACTCTGATGTGCAAAACACAAACATATGGAGGTTGCAGTTTGTTCTGTGGCTGCGATGGTGACATTTCACTTGTGATGACAGTAATAAGACTTTGATCATACCAATTATGCAACAGCCTTTGTTCATCCCTCAGCAACCCCTTGCTTTGTGATTTCTGCTGCCTCTCTTCCAACACTGCATTCTAAACTATGGTGGATTGCCAGAACTGTATTGATGTTCATTTGTATAAGAAGGGAAAATATACTGTTCTTTTCTACTCTGGTATTGTTTGAAACATGATTAGCTTTGGTTACCACTAATCAGTCAATGCTTTGTTTTTAAAGGTGCAGTAGGTAACTTTTGAAAAAAAAAAAAATCTTGATAAATTTGTTGAACTATTATAGATGAAATATGTATTGCCCCCCAGAAAAAAATAACAATTCAAGAACAAGAATTTATGTGCAGCTTTACAGCACATAAATAAGCATCTGCATCTGTTATTCGTCCATTCATTAGGAATTCTGCGTAGGCCATTCAAGTTTGTCTAATCTAAACTCACTTATCCATTTCCTACATGACCTTGCTTTGCCTGTTGTAAGATGGCATGTTAAAGTTTGAATAGTAGGTTTTCCACATTATTGGGAAGAAACAAAATCCCCCAATTTTGTTTTTTGTTGTTTTATGCCTGATTAAGAAATTCATTAGAGAAACGGTCTAAGTCCAACCACTGAAAAACAAGCCCACACCATAATGCCACCAATGTTTACATTCTGAACAGTGCAGACCTGCAATTACTGTTTTTTTGGAAACTGCCAAACTCAGTCATTGAAAGCACAACCAGACACTGAAGTATGATTCATCACTGAATATGAACCGCTCCGAAGTTTAGTGGCGAATACCATCCACCTCTTCATCCAGTACTTGGCATACTGTACCTCTCTGTTACTGTATGAAAGGTTTGAAATCGGAAGCAGTTATAAAAAACCCGTTCAGTATCGCTCTCTATGCTCTGTTACTGAAGTAACCTGAAGTCTTAACAAAGGTCTTTATAAACCATTTCTGCCTACAGTAGATTGAGCATATTATGCATCTCCCCATGCTGTGGCACTATTCTGGGATTTATACAGTCTACAGTACATTTTTCAGGCTGAGTTACTATTTTTTTTTTTTTTTTAATTGCTTCCACTTGCACTATAGATAAGTTATGAGGAATATGGCATCTGCTTTTACAATTTATTCATATAACTGAGGTCAGTCACAGTGTCACCCTAATAACTGACTAATATTTAGTCAAGCTGTAATTCCTCCGTTTTGTTTACGGATTTCACATATTCGCTGGATTGCTCGCCGTTTGTTTACAGAGTTGAAGGGCAGCCTATGTTTGTGAATGTAACCCGTGTAGTTGTGTCCTCTGGCAGCTCATGTTACGTGATGTGTGACCTGAGTGCAAATCTGACTTTCACTCATAGGTGGTCACCTCTCATCAGTTTGATTCAAGCTGCTGACATTCCTCCCATGTTTACATTGATACATCTGGAGGCCAGTCTGTGTCCTAGCCAGAAAAAAAACGCCCCCCCGTGGTTACAGTGGCCACACTGGATGGGTGGGGATGGTCTCACTGGTGGGTCTGTGGTTTGATTTTATTTAAGGTGGGGAAGTGAAACAGTATTTCATCTTTGAGGAAGAGAAAAAAATGTCAAATACAGTTTTCTTATTGGGGAGCTGCTATGGTGGGGGCTTTCTGGTCCATCAGCAATATTCTGATGCTGATTTATGGCTCCCATATGTGAGGGGAGAAGGCATTGCAGTGCGTAGGGGTATCAAAAGACGATAACAGCAGCCTAGGCTGGTCCTTTCACCCTCCGACAAGCTATCCCTCTGACAATCACTTGTCCTGTCTTCGCCCACAAAATTTGTGCATGGACTCTGCATGATTTCTAGTCTCAGCCCGAACTGCAGGAAATACTTGTAATCACGTAGTGTAAACTAAATCACGGAATAAAGATGTTAAAAGGATCTGGTCCTGGTGATTCACTGTCCAGCAGGTGGATTCAAAGCACCGGGAAAAAGAAAGTAGCGTCACCCTTTTCTCATCTTTTAAGGGATACTGATGCTGAAGAGTGGGACAGAAGAGGAATAAGAGAAAAGAAAAAATAGAGACATCCAGTTCTTCTAAAAACAAAACCCTTAAAATTCACTAATCTGAGATTTTATAAAAACAGTATAATGAAATTACAGTTTGTTTTCGCCAAATTTGAATATAAAGACATGTTTACAAAATCTACTCAAAATTTCCCACCCAGCGTAAACGCATTGAATGTTACTTGTTTATTGTGTTTTACATTACATAAAATCTTAAATTGGACTTTTTTAAATGAAATTTTTATGACAGACCTTTTAAGTTCGTATTTTATATTTTTTATATCTATTTTATTGTTTTATATTTTTTTTCCCCCTTTATGTCCACGGATTGTTGTTCTCTGTACCTTTTGGTCCTTGGAGGATTTTAAATTGCGCTACAAATAAAGCTGGATTGGATTGAACTGGTCTGTGAGTCGCACTCAAATTAAAACTGGACTTTAATTCACAGTCCAATGATGCTTTATTAAAACAGCTTGTTTTCTTATTTCAGTTATTGCATTCATAACAATTAAAGTTTTTATTATAATAAAACTACATGAAAGTGTGGCGTCCAAACAGACACCTTATTGTTAGAATAATCTATCAGAAATTGAGGTTACAAAAAAATGTCTGTAAAAAAAAAAAAATGAATAAAAACATTAGGAGACTTTATCAGATATTAAGTGCTGAACCTTTTTTCTCTCCTTGTGAGTTTTGAAGAAGTGCTGCAATTTTCAATAAGCTTTTAGCTTAACCAAAAGTTAGATTTCTTTGAAAAACCTCTTGATTATTGGTCTCTTAGAAAACAGAGGAGTATAATTTTCTCTGCATATTACATTCTGCAGGTCTTCATTTTGGGTTTAGTTTTCACAACCATGCTAATTCTGACCAACTGCTCTAGTTGCTTGGCATGCTTGTAAGGAGATTCTTGGGTGAGGACTAAAAAGTTGCTGTTTTGTTTTTGTTTAATTCAGTGCCAGAGAGCTGCGTTATTTAAGGCTCTTTAGAAAACATCTGACAGAGCCTCTTGAGTGCTCCCAGATTGGCAACATGAATTGCTGCTTTCATAGACCGGCTTGCTATAATGTATTTTTGAGAATCGTATACCGTCTGTGTTTACTTTTGTGCGTCAAAGTGTATGTTCTTTATGTTTGTCTGTATGGATAGAAGACTTGGCTTCACTTTTTGCGTGTGCTTGGGTTTTGGCTTAAAAGGTGAATCATTTGATGGAGAGGCAGAAAATACGACTTGGAAGGCACAGATTGGTGTTTTTCAGGGTCTTTCCAAAGTGATCTTTCAATGTCTAGATCCTGTTGACATTTTCACTTACTTGTAGTCTGACAGGAAATGTATAGCCTATCTATTTTTTCTATCTTTGTAGCTATAACGTCTACTAGATAAATATTAAGGCTTATATAAAATGTTTTTAAAATTTTAAATATTACATTTACAATTCTGCCGTTCTCAAAGGAGAGCAAAGGCAGGATCTTACTGAGATACTTCTGTTTGTTAATGCTAAATAGAGGTTCCTGTCTAATTTTTGGCTTGCAAGGGTAACAAACAGAGGTGGTTATCGCTTGTAAAACAGCTTTGAACAGTGGGTTACTGTTCCTCAGAGAGCCATGCTAAAGCACTCTGTCTCCCCCAAGTGGAGCTCTGTTGGATCCTGTTACCAACTACAACTCTGTAAATGAAAGCTGTGTCAAAGCTTTTCTTGTCTGTTCTAATATGCTCACAGGTGCACAGACAAGCTTACTGTATATTAGACACAAATATAGTTTCATTTAATTTTAAGCTTCTTCTAGCAGTAAGACATTAAAGTGTCTCAGCTTTAGCTTTTTCTCCTGTGGAACCATCACTCGTTAGGGAACTACTGTTGTTATTTTACATTTGTGGTTGAGTGGTGAGAGCATAGAGGTTCTGAGTTTGAGTCCCACTCCCACAGACTGCCACTATGGCTCTTTGAGCAAGACCCTTAATCCCTGATTCCTCCCCGGGCGCCCCACTGTGGCAGCCCGCTTCTACCTAAGAAGATGGGTTAAATGAAGAGGTACTTTCCTCCAATGTGAGATCAATAAAGTTCAATTATTTTTATTATGGGTTCAATTACATGGTTTATATAGATTATAAAAGATCAGACTAGGTTGATAAAAATGCTGAACTGTCAGTCATGCAGTTTATGGCCCTTTATCTTGTATTCATCCCCCTCTATTATCTGATCTCTGATTCTGTTGCAGGTATGAAACGTCCTTTCAGTCCATCGTCTTTTCTATTTCATGAGCTTGAAGGTAACAAAGTTGGCAAGGAAGAAGTAGTGCAAATGGACAGTGAATCTAGCTTGGAGATCCAGGACGAGGGTGAAAAACTTCAAGACCCATCGCTGGGGGACAATCTCCACTCTCCACCCAACAGACCCAAAAGGGAACGGAGGCAGCGCACCTACACACTGTGTGAGGTCTGCAACATCCAGCTGAACTCAGCTGCCCAGGCCCAGATTCACTACAGCGGCAAATCGCACCAAAAGAGGCTGAAGCAGATCAGCAGTGGCAAAAAGCCAAACAACACAGGTAGGCCCCAGAAGCTGCTTGCATGACCGGTTCTTTTGTTGCAGAACTGAATTTCTAGCTCTGTCTAGCATAATAGAGCCATGAAGATTAACTGAATCCCACAAGGCGTTCACAGTGCAGTGTCTCGTGCCTCTTAGTGCACATACCCTCTACTGTATTTGACAGACAATAAACAAATTGGACCCTGCTTGCAGAAATGTGTTCAGACAGAGCCTTGGGGTGAAGAAACACATGCAGAAGCTCAAAGCAATGCAACTGAAGCAGAGCAAAGTCAGCAAGTGTGAAACTAATTAAGAGCTGAATGTGATGATGTTTGTGGGAATAAAGCTGCTACAGTAAATTTGGACAAAAAAATGATTCATTCTTCTTGTATAGTTTGAGTCTTCTGCAGACGATGACACAATTCCCTGAAATTATTATTTAGAAGATTTAAGAAAACAAAGCAGACTCGCTTTACCTCTGAAAAGTAAAATTCTTTTTACACCAGGCACACAAAAGGGTTAGTCTTAGGGTTAATTGTATCTGCTCTACTTTCATCCTTGTAAGATGCTATTTTACTTTAATATTTTATAACCATATTTCTATCTTAAGTGTATATATTAGTCTATTTTATTGCATGCCTTATACCCACAGTGTTTTAGATATTTTTATAATTTTATGATTTTATTTACTAGGGATGCACGATATCGGTATCGGCCTGTATCGGCCTTAAAACTGAATATCGGACATCGGCCACCCCACCGATATTTAACCCGATATTTGATCAGCTTCTGAGTTTCTAAAGTCCAAAAAATAAAAATAAAAATACTACTTCTTCTTCTTCCTCAAAAACTTCTTTTTTACAGACTTAAAAACTTCTAAAGATGAGTGAAAAAATATTGATACATTAAAATATCACAATATCTTCATATGCTGATATATTGCCATTTAAAAACACCATATCAATCTCTTTTACTAATGAAATATTGCTATATGTCATCGTTATGCTACGAAATCCCCCGAAAATTCACGAAATTTTGGCATATTTTTATATGTTGATATATTGACGCGGTATCGATCTATTTTACTAACAAAATCTCACATGAATTTGCAAAATATCACGAGAGTTTGTAACAGAACGATGACATTTCACGAGATTTTGAAAGTAAAATAGATCGATACCGCATTTTTAAAAATCGATTTGATATCAGCATATGAAAATATATTTGAGTATATTATTTTTCAAAGTGTCAGAAATGGATAACAAAACTGCTATTTTCAATGACTACTTATTTTTGTCCAGCTTTAACATCGGTATCGATATAGGTTATCGGCTACATGAGTTTTAAAATATCGGCATATCGGATATCGGCCAAAATCCCAGTATCGTGCATCCCTATTATTTACCTATTTCATATTATGTGTTTCATGTTGCCCGATTGTACCATAAAAAATTCCTAGTTTGTGAACTCCTTCACTAACAATGGCAATAAACCTGATTCTCATTCTGATTAATAAAATTAATAATTATGATAACTTACTTCATGCAGCACTTTCATATAAAAAGCTGAACAGCCACAAAGGATATAAAGACTGTTTAAAACAATACAGATAAAAAAGTTAACAAGTGGGTCTTTAACTTTGCTTTGAAATGAACATCCCCAGAACCTGCCTGCCAAATGTCCAGAGCATGGTTGTTCCACAGAAAAGAGGCACAAAAAGAGAATGCATGCTCACAAATAGGTTATCTTCATGCTTTAGCAATTTTAAAAGGCAAGTGCCTTGAGATCTAAGAGCTTGAGGAGAGAGATATAGGTGCAGAAGGTCTGAGAAGTAAGAAGGCGACAGACCGTTAAAAACCTTGTAGGTGAGCGACAGGATCTTGAATTGACCTCAAGCATGACAAGTCAGCCAGTGAAGGGATGACAGCACTGGGGTAATAGACTCGAAATTCCCACTTTTCCTTAAAACATAACAGCTGCACTAAAAAAAAACAGCTTCAAAAAGCCTTTGCAGTAATGCCTTAGGACGCAAATTCATGCGTGAAAATCTACATTTTCAAAGGTTTGATTTGCCTAATGTTTGCAATTTTCCTGAGATGATAAAAGGCAGTCTTAGCACCTGTAAGGGAGGCTTGAAAGGAAGCCCAGGATCAAATCACAGCCCCAGATTCTTCATCGTACCCCTAAATTGTTTCACATAGTTGTCAAATTTTAGGGTAAGGTTAGGCGTTTCTGATGACTGATTAACTTTAAGTCTGTCTTGTCTTTGTTAAGATTCAAAAAATTATTTAAAAGTCAGCCTTTAATGGCTTATTGACAGGCCTCAGCAAATCAGCACAGTTTCGGTTGTGAAGGGTATGTACACTTTTTAACTGTCTGCATAGCAATGAAAAGGGACATTAAATAAAAAAAAAAAAGGTAACTGAGAGGAATAAGATAAGGTAGAGAGAGAGAAAAAAGCAGTGGTCCAAGCAAAGGTCCTTGAGGGACTCTTAATAAAGCTAACATTCTAAGATATATGACATAAATAAGAGCTCAGCCATGTGTATGTTTCCAGTAAGTCGGATAAAGTTTTCAAGCCTATCCAGTAGAATATATTCTCAGCTTAATCAAATGCAGCACTTAGATCTAGGAGTAAAAATCAGAGGTTATCATTATCTTCATTCAGCAAGATTTTTTGTAGATTTCTTTTCAATTCAGCAATTTAACATATTTTTCAAAATCAGCTGGGTTCTCTCCAGCTTATCTCAGCATAGTGCTCCATTACACTCAAAAGTCACCGTAAGCTGAAATCAGGCCAGTATGTTCATGTTCTGAGCACAATAGTCCTTGAATCACAGACCTTAATATATGCTTTAACTGGCATGTGGGCCCCCCCCCCCACCGCATTTCAGCACAGGCGCTGGTTACCCTGAAACTTGTAGAGTTACAATAGTATTATGCTAGTACCCTGACTTTTAATGAGCATGGCAGCAGCAGAAACAATGTTTTTTAAAACATTTACCTACTTATTTACATACTGTATATACATGAGGAAAGTGTTGTGAAAATGTGAACCCTGCACCTGTTAAGACTGTTTATTGGCTCAGCTCCCCAAGGCAGGTGAACATTTGTACCCCTAGAGGGGTTTTGTGTGGCACCTGACTTTGTTTTAAGGAAAAATACAGAGTACTGTGTCAAAAAGACAGGTGATTGTTGCATATATAAGGACTCCTTATTTTTAATCTCTAATTTTTCAATCTTACAATAGAAAAATTAGAGTAAAACAAAATATGTCTTTTTTAGCCTAAATTTTATAGTAAATATGACCACATCTATCTACTTACTGTACTTGTGCTTAAAAGCACCCAAATCTGATTTTAATTAATTTATTGTACTTGGCTGAATAGAGCGAGTGTTTTCAAAGGAAGAGTGACCCAAATTGCTCAATTACCCGGTTTCTTGTTTTTAGAGCAGGAAATATAAAAAATAATTTCCCTTATTGGACATACAATAATTTAAATTCCTATTTCCATCCCAAATGTGACACTATATTTGCTTATTGAAATATTGCCTGCTTAGTTTATTATAAGCAGATACAAATAGTTCTAAATATTTTGAGATGTAAAATAAAAATATTGAATAATATAAAATAGTGTCTGTTTCTTTTTTATTTCTTTTGAGCCCGTGAACTAAAGGTTTATCCTACTTGGTTGTCATATGAATCGGCTAGTATGTTTTAAATGGCAGTGGAATACACTTAAAACAAGAGAAAATATACAGTATATTCATCTAAATCACTTACCTCTTTTAGATCAGTTAGGATTAACTTCTTCAATATTTCCACATGCTGTTTCTTCCTTCGTGCCCCACTGAGCGAAACGTTGCAAGCAGCGAAAGCACAGAGAAAAAATCATGCACTATTACACTATTAGATTAAGTTCAGCAACATTAATTTATCGAATATATAAAAATTTATATCCTATACTTGATTTTTTTTAAATATATGCCTCCTTGTGCAAAACTGCACATCCTGGTAGGACACTAGCCCACAGGCCTCTGATGCTGAAAAGCCATATATTATATATATAGTATATGTTGATTGTTTCTACTAAACTTAAATTTAGTTGATAATATATGAAAAGGAGCCACACAGAAGGAAATAGCAGCACATCCTAGTGTGTGGTATGTAAGGTGCTTTATGTTTCCTTTTTTCTTTCCTATATATATTATACTGTGTATATATATATATATATA